AAAAACGTTATTGTATCGAAACACTATGACGTTTTGTTTATATTTTACCTAAAAATATTAATTATTCTACTTTATTGCAATCATAATTTTAAACATTTTCATTGATTATACTTAGAATAATAAGTTGGTTTATGTTTGTTATGTTGTAAATGGCCAAGATTTAAAAAATTTCTCATTTGTAAGAAGAGAAGAAGATGGGTTATGTTGTAGTCATTTTATTTTAAGTAATATAATTTTATTTTAGAGACAACCATATATTCTAAATAATTGGAAGTTTGCGTCTGTTGTTGGATACATTTCTGAAATATCAGTATGTTATATTTCTGATAGGTTTCAAATTATTATTTATAAAATATATGAAATATTACATTTGCAGGATATTTTTACATTTTAGGAATGTTTTAGAAATGTTTCTGAGGCGTTTTGTAATATTTATATATTATTTTATCATATTCATGATTTCCTTAAAATGGTCCGTATTCGAGAATTTTGACAAAAAGTGCAAAATTCGAATTTTAAAGAAAATTCTTCAAATAAAAGTTGCTTACAATGTAATTCTCAATAATTTTTGTTGCATGCATTTCTCTAAAATAGACCGAATTCGGGAAATTTGAGGTAAAGTGCAAAATTCGAATTTTTCTCATTATTTTCACTAGTGACCAAATTATTTCCGGAAATATTTTAGAAATCGCGAATAATTTAAAAATGATCCCGATATCATGCTCTATATTTCATATTCTACACATAATTTCTCTAAAATAAACCGTAATGGAAAAATCTTAAATTTTTTTAGATCAACTAACTTTTGAATGCTCGCTATCTGTTAAAATCAAAGCTTGTTCTGCGATGTCATTAATTTCTCTTAAATTTTCGATAATTCATTACTACCTGAATCAGATTGTAATCACAATCAGGGTACATAAACTATGGTCAAATTTCATATCCCGTCGACGCCCGAGTTGCGAACTCACATGTGCACCATTTTGGAGGGAGCCCGAGTTGCGACGAATTCAGGTAGTTTTATATTACGCCCGAGTTGCTAACGCACGAGTTGAGAAAGTACCTTAAATACGAACAGGTGTTGTAGTAAAAAAACCTCTTGTAGATACAGCTCTAAAGCTTTTACCAAAACTACTCAGTTCAACACCCCAAACACACATTCTTTAAGTTAATTATAATAATGTAATGTATAATTCCTCTACAACTGACAAAGATTTTCATCTCACAGAAAATTAAAATTATTTTAGTCCAACACGGCCTTGAACGTACCTACCTGTCGTTTTTTTTTAAATGTCAGGGTTTTTGACAACCTCAATTGACATCTAATATCGACAGTAACTATTGTCAAGGCCAACACTCCAAATTTATGATCGACAAATAAATCTGTGTTCACACATATAAAAATTAGGATCCGCGATAACCGCAACAAAAAATACACCTAACTGTATACAATATACATTGGTGTAAACAAGTTATTTTTGTTTTCTAAATAATGAGCCAACTTGCAATAGTTACATTAATCAAGAGCCTGTCTTTTGCGTTCTAGAGCTTCATATTCGCACAGTATGTGTTTGGCCGTTTCTGATTTCTTGTGACATAGTTGGCACATGAGTTCCCCATTGTACATGCCAGTTTTGTTCAAGTGTCCCTTTACTGGGACGTGCCCAGTCATGAACCCTGGTATCACTTTCAACTGGTTCCTATTCATAAAGAGTAGTTCTCCAGTTCTTTTGAGACATGGTTTGCCTATAAAGGCTTTTCCATGTGCCTGTTTTGGGGTGCTTCCCCAATAGTTGACATGTTATTTCCAAATCCAGTCGTTTATGAAACCCCGGACTGTTCTTTTTGGTAATCGTGGGTTTGTGTCTGGTTCCGGTGTTTCTTCTGACCCTCTTTTTGCAAGTTCGTCAGCCTTTTCGTTGCCTTCGATCCCTTGATAACCTGGCACCCCAAATAGTTTTACTCGGTCTGCCAGTGTTTTTAGTTCTTCGATGTATTCCCATACCAGCCTCGACGTAACTTTCTGACTCGATATGGTCTTAAGTGCCGCTTGGCTGTATGACATTATTTGAATATGCTGATTTTCGACCGCTCTTTCATTATTCGTTTTTGCACATTGCAAAATTGCGTACACCCCGGCCTGAAATACCGAGGAATGTATTCCTATAACATAGTTATGGTTAGTATCAGGGTTTTTGGAGAATACTCCCGCCCCAGTGATCTCCGCTCTTTCCTGTATTAAAACCTCAAATGGAGTATTAAAAAAGTACCTCTTGGTTATGTGGTCTGATCTCATGTCTAGCACGTCTCCTGTCACTTACCTGGAGATACTCATGTGACCTGGCCTAATGTCATGATTTCTAATGTATTCGCTAATCTGTAAGCACCTATTCTTGCCTCCTCTTGTATCACATAGTGAAGAGGTGGGAGTTCTATTAGTGCTTCCATTGCAGCAGTGGGGGCTGTTTTTATTGCCCCCGTTATTCTAACTGTTACAGTAAATGATGGAAGAACACGTAAAATTGACGTATACTTCATTTTGTTTGCTGAAAGTTATAGCAGAAAAAAAAGAAATGGCGTATGCAGAACAGCTATATTTTACTAGTTTTTTTAGGTAAAATAAATCATATATTAGTACTTTGGAAATTAAAAATGTAGTGCTGATTACGGTTTTTATTTGAATTTAATTAAAATTTTTGAAGTTCACCAGTGGAGAAAAATCAACCAGATACGCACTGAATCACACTTTTATTATATCAAACAATTTAGAAATGCCATATATATAAAAGTAATCAATCCTGCTGCTTTAGATAAAAACACAATGGGAAATTTTAACGCAGTGGTGGGCCAAGCACTTTTTACAGGCAGTTCTTTTGTTTAAAAAACAAAAGATTATCCTGATAAAGATATTTTTTTTTATTTGTACCCCATTTTACTAATTTAAAGTATGCCTCAGCGTGTTTAAAACGAACTTTAAAAAACGCGCGTTTTAAAGTTACCATGGCAACATCAACAACCCGAGAAACGTGATGTCTAAATGCCAACTTTTTAAATATTGATCTGACAGGAGTGCCTTGTAACGTCAAATTAAATATTTCTAAGAAATTTTTCAAAAAATTTATTCAAATATTTTTTCACATTCTTAATTGTTTAAATGAATGTAGAAAGTACAGTTAGTATTGTTTGAAATATTAAAACTTCGGTTTTTTAAATCAGAGGAAATACTATTCAAATTAAGATTGCTAACATTCTTGGAAGTCAATGAAGTTGTACTTCCATTAATAGCACTTCCAATAATATTTGAAACATTCTTCTTATTGCTAATGCTCTTTTCAACGTAACCAGTCGCCACAGCTGCCGATTTCCATCCTACTTGTCGTTGGATTTGATCTATTGTCATACCATTATTCGCCATAATGGTAGCGGACGTACGTCGAAATGCATTTTCGGTATATTTCTCAGGATCGTCCAATTTAAGTTAACGTGCAATTTGGTGGGATCATGATCCAAATACTCAATATTTGAACTCATTTTAAAAAATAACAACTGTTGCGACAATTAATCTTACGTGACAGATTGAAAATAAATTTTTGTTTGTCTCATTTTCATGACAACGAGGTATACTGATGTTACATCACAAATTCAACCATTTTCAGTTATTAGTTTTTATTTCCAATTTTTTGTAGAAATAATACCAATATTTAGGATTTCAAAGTATACCAATAAAAAAAATAGCGTAAAGTATTCGTGGATAACTGGTCTTTAAAACACTTGCTCTATTTCGAGCACTCCAGCTGCGCCGTCGTGCTCGAAAAATCGCGCGTGTTTTAAAGACCGTTATATCCACTTATACTTTAATATATTATTATATTAATTTGCTATTGGGATATCAATTGTCCAAGTAAGGTTTTTGATAACACAAATGATCTCGTTGTAGCATTGCAAATAATGTAGGTTTTACTCTTGAATGAAAACAAATATTTCGTAACAACTGTCGTTCAATTATTTCTTGTATTACAAAGTTTCAGAAGCAGAAGACTTTTTTCTAAAGAAACTTCAAGAATGCCACATATCTGAGTTTGCTAAAGCAATAAGCATATCTATCTCTGTTTGGGTATATACCATGTCATACATCATATATGATGGGCAATATCATTCGTGTATAAATTTTATCAATTGAAGCAAATAAGTGAAAATATTAGTTTCCAATACACTGTTATGTCATTAATTTCTTATCATCTTATCTACTGAAAATTCCTTACGTACTTGTTATTATTTTTTTTTTTGTAAAATTTATAGCATTGCATATACCTCTCTTCTAAAAATGCAGTCATATTTCTAATACAGAATTACCTAAACATTATTTTTAAGATTACGCTTGGCATCACTGTCACTCACATACCTAGGAATTACCAACTACTCTGATTCAACACTAAAATATACCCCAGTTTTATTTTGTGACTCAGCAAAGAACAACCCTCACGTTATACACCCTTATGTGTCCTCTTGTTTTGACGAAAGGTAAAAAAATATATTTGAAAATTAATTTCGTATATGAACAAAATATTTTTGAAAATACGAAGAAGCCAAATTAAAAACTAAGAAATATTAATTCTTCATCTGCGCTAAAAGTTAAACCCGTCATAAAGGGTGCTGGGAGAAAGAATAAAATGTAGTTATTCCATATCAGAGAATGGATGAGTGTAAAGAATAGAAAGGAATTTTTTAAAGTAGTCGTCAATCTCAAATAAACGGAATTACTAACAGGATAGGAATTAATTCGTATCCGCATCTGGTATACGCCACTGTTGATTAACAGTGTTAACAAAAGTACATTACTGTTGAATGATTTAAAACTAATTAAATAGTAGATTCCAAGTAGTGATAGCGATTGAAATGTTTCATCGTTTAATTTCTTTTACAGTGTGTGGTTCCAAAAATATATCGTAAAAATTAGAATGTTTTATTTATGACAATAAATAAATAAGTACATCTGGGGAAAAAGATGAGGATGCAAAATATTGAAAATGGTGAGAATCAGAATGTAGAAGATACAAAACCGAAGGAATCAGGTGAGGCAATATTTTTTTGAAAAACTTATTTTCTTATATTTTCGATATATCCTAGATACGTACAGTTTTAAGGAGGGTAACTAGCTTTCCTAAATTTTTAACTAGAAGAAAAGGCATCTGACACCGCATTTTAACGATTTATATTTGAATTTTCTAGTAAGTAACTAAAGTGGTAATTCTGTAATTAAATACGTTTATTTTTAACGGGTGTTAAATTTTACGATTTTAACATAAAATGGGGTCTATTCTGTAACAATTCCTTTATATTTAACGGCCTTTAAAAATATTGGCGGCCTTTAAAAGTATATTTGTATTCGTTAATTTACTTCTATCATTATTTAAACAGATTTCTTTAAGATAGTCCTATAATGTGTTTTGAAGATCCGTTTAAATAGTGACCGAATTAAAGAAGAAAATATTTTTAAAGGCCGTTAAATATAAATGAATTTTTACAGAATAGACCCCTTTGTAATTCTGTAAAAATAAAATTAACGCATACGTTAAATGTTTAAATAAATTTACATACTTTAAAAGTAAATCAAATTTGTAATAAAAGAATGGTTAAGTTTTAAGATCTGTCAAATAAATGCCATTCCTCTTGTGATATTAATTGTATCTGTCTATTCTTGCACAAAAATATTGAAAAAAGTAGCGGCCGAATTTACTTTATAATGGTAGGCCATCAATTTTCAATAAAAACAAAACTAACCCCAGTAATTTTATAATAGTGCACTTTTACGGCAAATCAATTACTAACTACAAAAAGTTTATATACACTATAAAAAATATAATTTCTAAATAGAAATTGTGTAATTTCAACTGTTAAAATTACTTGAATATTTTCAAAATGATTAATTTTCATGATTTTCTTGCATTATAAGTTAAATTAAACATTCAAAAGTCATAATTTCTTATAAGTTAGGTTTTAAAACCTACTAATTAGTACCTGTTAATATCCTCTATTTAACGCATAAAATTAACACATTTATGTTAAATTTTTAACATATTTCAGCTTATAGAATAGATTTTAGCGGTACAAATGAACTATTATGTTAATTATGACAAGTTAAAATTTTTCATGAATTTACAGAATTGCTTTTCATATTTAACATACGTTATATTTTTAACATGCGTTAAATTTTAACATATTCGTTATAGAATTACCACTCAAGTGTCTTTAAATTTGTTGTAATTTCTTATATAAAAAAAATTAAGTAAAAAACGTTATTTTAAAATATTTTTATAGAAAACGAAAATAATCACATTTTGGGATGTACATGCTCCTCACAATCAGTCAATTTGAGATAATATAGCGTCATGTCATTAAAACTAAAACATATCAGATTTTTACGGTAGTCAGTAAGAGTCTGCTACGATGGTGTGAAAGATTTGTAGTTATTTATAGTACTTCTAGTCAATAATTATAAAAATAATTAATAATAATAATGATCATCACGCCTGTGGCTGATTTACAACTGATAAATAACGTAAAAAACATAAATAAAATAAAAATAAACAGATTTTCAAAACAAACCTTTAAAAACAGAATCACTGCATGTACAATAATTCTTATGACCATAGTTAATTGCACAAAGAATCTTTATTTAATTCTAAAGTATATTGTACTCTTTAAACAGGGTGTCCGCTAATTAATGGTACACAACAAAATTGCAGATTCTTTGGATAAAATATTGGGAATCAGCCAAACTTACCTTTGTTCAAAAGTTGATAATAACCGAAATAGTTGTAATTTTCATTTCGTTTTTTCTTAATATTTCATTAACTTGGCGACATAGCGATATGAGATTATAAATTTAAAGAGTTTTGGAGGCGCGAAATTGAAATGTAGAGGGAACTACTTACGGTACAAGAAATCTCTTTAAAATGAGCAGGCTATTTTGTTTCGCTATATATTAGCCTAAATGCAAAATATTATGTTTGGTTTTTTTTTTTTTTTTTTTTTGGAAAAAAGTTATATTTTGAAAATTTAGCTCCAAATAACCGTTTTCAAGATATTTGAGTATCAATTATCTTTTTAAATTCGCAACATTTTTGATTAATGTTATTAAATCATGAAATACAATTGTGAAAGCTATGGAACGGTTTCACATGAACATTTATTGTCGAAAGATGTCCTCTTTTTCTATTAAATATTTTTGTTTTTATGTTGTTGTTTTCCAAATGTTATTATTGTTCTAACCATGTACTTTCATAATAATTTTACTTTTTATATTATGATTAGAGTACTTACAGCCAGTCGCATTGCGCGAGCGGCCATATTGTCTCGCATGTAATCATTAATGGATATCCTTTAATCGTTGTCTGGAGTACCTTGTATAGTTCGATCCTTTGTAGAATACTTCTTAGACTAGGAAGTAGTTTTCCGGCGTAGCAAGTTGCCCTTGGTTTTGCTTCTCCAAGTGTAAGGAATCTTAGTCTTGATAGACCTTCGTGGTAGGCAAAATACGTGTACTGCAGTTTCCTTCTCTTCCTGACAGAATCGGCATAAGCTCTCTTCTGTCAGACCGATATTATACATATACTCATATTATGTTTGTTAAGCTTACAATATTAGTACTCTCTACTATTTTTTCTATTAGGGTTAGAAGATGCTCAATGAGTTTAAGCTATGGTCCTTTTAAGAACTCTTTGTCATGTCTCTTAGTAAATTTTTCACCATTTCTGAGATTTTTTTAAAATCTGCTATTGTTTATGTTCTGATAGCTGTCTTTGTGACACTACAGAAGGGTTATGGGTCAATAAGAGCCTTTGAGGCTCCTTCTTGGGCTAGTAAATCAGCCTATTCATTGCCATTATGTATTCTGTGGCCTGCAACCCAATTAAGGTTAGTCTGTATTGACTATTCAGCTCTGTTAGGGTTTCCAAAAAGTCCCACATAAGCCTTGAGTGTACCTGCATAGAAATCAGTAATTTTAACGTCGCCATCTGAGTATATGACAATGGTTTTTTATATTTAACTTATGTCTTAACATCTCTTTTGTCCAGTGATGTATTGCTGCGATTTCTGCCTAGAATACTGTCGCATGTTTATCTAAGCTCAGTGAGATTCTTATCTCTGGCTTGGTACTATATATACATCTTCCTCAACCATTGTGGGTTTGGGAGCTGTGGGTATACATGTTAAATTCTGCGTGAATAGGAGGCCCGCCCTTTTACGCTTCCCTGTCTGGTATACTTACTTTATATTGTTTTTGAAAACTATACTTTGTGAGCATTTCGCCTGAAGGCATTCCCTTTATTGGGTCGTTCTCTAACTCTTTATATAGCTCGCTGTAGTCACGTCCATACAAACTGCTTATGGGTGATGTATCCTTATTACAGTCTACATGTGACAGACCTGGCTTTGCTATGAATGAATATATTGTTATCCTAGTTTTCGGTAAACTCAATTTTATTCAAACTCAACTTTTGCAATATACCACGCATCCTTGAACCTCCAGAATTGTCCACGGAATGACATTTCTATATATTTCTAAACTGTTTATTTTATTTGTACTTTTACTTATGACAACAGCAGCACACTGTAAGGTATTGGATGCTATTGCACTTCTTCTTTTATTCCTACGTAGCCTATGACAGCCGCATGCTACTGCAAGGTACACTGTATTAATATGTAGTGTTGTTAGGTTTAGCATACGAAGACTAGAGAGAAGAAGGCGAATCGGCAATTGTCAAATTTTCAATTTTCATCCTTCTTTTTATAAAATTGGCTGTAGTTGTCTTGTCGAATAACAGCGGTGTCAATTTTCTATGTAAGTCAATGTAAAATAAAGTGATTTTTTAAAAAATTGATGAAAAGAATCAAAATAAAGTGAAAAAAAGTACCTGAGAACAAGTAACATGGGTGACAAAAAACATCAAAGGAAGATTTATGTCGTTTCAGATTGTAAAACGAGATACAAATCAAATGTAAAAGTAAAAAAAAAACACAATGAGAAATCAATTCAATGTCTTTTTAAAGCTTCTAATGTAAGTAAAGTAATGTATTTATGTCTAAATATAATATTTATTGTAAACTAGTCACAATATGTATCTAACGGAAGTAAAGTTTATATAGTTACTATAATATAAAATTTTACAGTCGTGTATCCTGACTTACAAACAACAATAATTAATATACATTAAATTTAACTTACTGGAAAAAATAATATTTTAATGTTAGATAAAGAGTTGCTACTGTTATTTTTTTTTTGTTGAACTGCAATTTTGTCATTGTAAATGTTTTTTATAGGATACTAAACGCTTAGAACAGTGGCAGCATATAATATCGTTCCTGGTGCCGATAAAGCACTTTCTAGAGATAATGCTGTTCTATACTTTTTAGAAGATATCAAATATTATAAGACTATTTTTACTGATAATACTAATAGCAAAATAAAAAGGGGAAAGCTGAAATTAAAGGATGAGGTAATACCATGTACATTCCCAAATCTCCCTTTATACTTGAAAATTAAATAATTTAATAATTAAAACATGCAAGACTTATTAAAAAATAAATACAACAGTATGTTCTGTGCTTTATTTAGCTATAAACAAGTTTATTTTTATTATCTTGACAAAATTATGTATAATTCCTAGAAGAATATTTTAAACACCGTAAGCAGTAACAGCGCCCATGCGATTAATTATAAAAACTCAGCTTGCGTTTTTTGGGACCGTATTTTGAGTATGTCAATTTGCCTACTTATCTCTAGTTTTCATAGGAATATTTAGTAGTGTTGTTAGGTTTAGCATTACTTTTAGAGATGCTGTTGGAGTCGTTCTCATGACTCCCGTGGTACTTAGGCATACTTGCTTTTGAATACCGTTGAGCTGTCGAATGGCTCCTGCCCACATACTTTGATTACTATACGGGGCAAGAGAGAGGTCCGACACGCCCAACATAGGGCGCGGCCATTTTGATTCCTATGACACAGTTTATAGCTAAAGAATCAGATCGCTCACTCTGCGTCGGCACTTTTGATCTCAATGTTCCAGTTTATACACTGCGCAACTCGGATAATACAATATATGACAACCGCCTATAATAAAACAGCAGTCTTCTGCGTATCCTGAATTTGTATCCCTGGAGTGGATGTTATTTTGGGATTTTCAACTGGTCCGAGTAAGCTAACTGATTCTTTAGCAATAAACTGTGACTCCAAAAATAATATTCACTGACACTGACAACAGCAAGCAAAATATCAGGTGCGTTTTAATCATCCGCTTCTGCTTCCGGAATTGTCGGTTTAGTCGTTTTAACATGTCAGATTAAAACAAGAAAACCGACAATTTCGAAGCAGAAGCAGATGATTAAAACGTACCTATTAAAAATATTGCGCCAAGATGTAGGCAACACATAATAGGGTTCAAAATGGCAGAGTTTTCTATCTTCTTTTAAAAGGCACTCAGAAAGCTGCGCAATGCGACCATTCTCCGTATAGTAAAAGAAAATCAAAGTATGTGCTTCTGCCTGTCGAGTCTTTGACTATCGTGCCACCAACCCGTGGATGTCACATCCTTAGGTGTCACCCATAGGTGTTTTTGATTTCATCGTCGCACATACGTTGATTTCAAGGATTTAGGCGGTCAAAAATCAAATTTTTAAAATGAATTTAAAAATACCACAAGCATACGAGAGCCAAAGGAATGTTCCAGTAACAATATTTTACCATCCCCTCTTGCGAACCTATCTTCGTGCGCGCGCGTAGTTAGTTGAAACTTGGTCGTCTCACGGAGTGCATGTCATTGTTCTTAGCGTCCTCAGTGTAAACATTTAAGCAAAGGTAAATTTTGTGGTGTCCACCTAATATTTTAAAGTTATTTTAATGGATTCGAATAATACAGGTAAGAATCAATATTTATTGATATGTTTAAATGTTTTTTAACGTTATATAATAATATTTATAGAAATTCAATAAAGGGTTGTTTTAAATGAAGTTTTTACTAAATTTTAATGTTATTAGGATTTTTTGTTATATTATCGCGTCTTCTCGGGTAATACTTGTTATTGTATTATATACTTCGTACATTAGGCTAATTAATGACATACAATTTGAGTGCGGATAGGTGCGGATGACCAAATTATGTTTTTTTATGGATTAAAAAAAAAATGGAATTTTAAATCAAATGTACTTAACTGCAATTTTCTTTATTTTAGGTACACCTGGTACTTCGGGTACAAAAATAGTTAGCCACAGATATCTTTACGATCTAATGCAACAACATGAATTGCCTAACTTGGATGAAAAACTTAAATTTCTGGAAAATCACCTGTTGTCCTCTTATAGTGATACACCAGATAATCTAAGCAATTTAAAACAAAGATTTGCGTACTTTAAAACCTCAATCAAAGAAAAATGGTCTAAAGCCCATAGAAAAGAAGCAATATTTCTTAAAACCAATGAAGCTTGGTTAGAAGGAACATTTGAAATGTTAGCAAATAAACAAACTCGACTAGGTCGGCCTTCTAAACCATTTGAAGATTGTAGTGAGAGGACTAAAAGAAGAAAAACAGAAGAAATACGTTCTTCGCTTAGTAAAGAAGTAATTGTTCATGCAGCGCAAACAACATTACAGGTTCGAGGAAAAAGGGATGCTTCGAAAATATTAAAAGAAATAACAAATTCTCCAACTCGTGCAGGAAAATACAGAAACGCATACAGAAAATCAGACCAAGACGAAATTACTTCTTTTACACCATTACAAGCCCTAGCCATGTTTGTTGAAGCCGATTTGACCAAGAGACAATATGAAATCATCAGGAATACAAATAAATCATTTTATCCGTGCTACAACCTATTGTTAAAGGCAAAAACAGAATGTTATCCGCCCAAAGATAGCATGACTGTCACAAGTACCTCTGCAGAAAGCAATTTACAAAGCCTAATTGATAATACAGTTAAGCGCTTATCAATGGCGCTAGAAGAAATCCTTTGTACTTTAAAGGACAATGAAAGGAATTCTTTGAAAATTATCTGTAAATGGGGTTGTGACGGATCCCAACAAGCCAAATATAAACAAAAATTCGACGATGACACTGCTTCAGACGCAAATATATTTCTGAGTTCTTTTGTACCACTTCGAATAATGTGTGGCAAAGAAGGCAAAAAAATAATTTGCAAAACCCAACACCGTCATCGCCTAGATATTGCAGACCAATTCGATTTAGGTTTGTCAAAGAATCTACTGATGTAACAAAGGAGGAAATCAGTTACGTTGAAGAATCTGCCAAGAAGTTAACATCTACTGAAGTAATTTTTCATGGAAGTAAATTCATATTTGAACATATCTTCAAAATGACGATGATCGATGGTAAGGTGTGTAATGCTGCAACAGATACAAAATCAACAAGTCGGTGTTATATATGTGGAGCAACATTTAAAGACTTTAACAATCTGTCCCAAAAGTATACAACTTCTAAAGCTATTGAATTTGGTCTATCTATACTACACGCCAGGATTAGATTGTTCGAAAGCGTTTTGCATCTGGCGTATAAATTACCAGTAAAAAAGTATCGAGAGAGGAGAACTAACGAAGAAAGGGAGTTAGAAGTACTTACAAAAAAACATATTCAAGAAAGATTTCGAAAAGAAACTGGATTGCTAGTCGACATGCCAAAAGCTAATTTCGGGAATACCAATGATGGTAACACTAGCAGAAGATTCTTCGAAAACCCTCAATTAGCTGCCGATATAACAAAAGTTGATTTTGAATTAATATATAGACTGAAGGTTATACTGGAAACTATCTCAAGTGGTCATAAAATAGATGTCCAGCAGTTTGATGAATATGCCATGGCTACTGCAAAATTGTATGTCGACCTATATGGATGGCACCCAATGACTCCGACCATGCATAAAATATTAATTCATGGTGCAGCTATAATTGAAATTGCTTTATTGCCCATAGGACAGTTGTCGGAAGAGGCAGCAGAAGCCAGAAATAAGCATTTTCGGTTATATCGTGAAAACTATGCTAGAAAGTTCTCAAGGGAGGACTGCAACCTCGATATATATAATAGATTATTACTAAGTTCAGACCCATTATTAAGTAGCATGAAACAAACAAAAAAAAGCCTTAAACTAAAATCATTTTGCCCTGAAACAATAAATATGTTACTTCCAGGTGACCCGAATATCGAATCAGATATTTCAGACACAGATCAAGATTGATCTATAAACAAATAATCAAATCTTTTAAAATATGTATTTGTATCTAAATTAATAATGTGTAATCAAAATATTTATTTGTTCGTAAAATTTGTCATTAAAAAGGTTTTTTTTAAACTTTGTCTTTTTTTTCTCATTTTTTTAAGGTTTTGGCGGGAAAATATGCTAATTTGAGAATGGGCAATACTTTCCAAAAAGATATGTTATTTAAAGCCAAAATACACTGTAAAATAATTTTGACCGCCTAAATCCTTGAAATCAACGTATGTGCGTCGGACATCTCCAAACACTGCGAACGTGTTTCAATTGACACTCCGAGCGCTCCCAAAAGTTTTTGGTTCACTTTGGAACGAGAACATAGAGTGAGCTCAGTGTTCTCATAGCAGAAGTTTGTCTTTGTATCTACTACATATCTCTTTTTAATTAACCTACAAAAAACTTGAATCTCAAATTTCCAGAGCAAACAAGAAGTCACAAAATTATTTAGCTGCTTTCGTCTTTTAGCTAAAAGTATTCATTATAAAAAATATAAAATGTGTATCTGAAAAATACATTTTCACTGCTCAGATCTAATCACCAGTAATCACAGTCATTAAATTTGAAAGCGAAGCGGTCATTTGTGGCATATGTTGCATTTTAGGACCAGTGTCCTTTATTATTTAAACTATTCCATTTCTTCCACTTTTTTTAAAAAAATTTAATACGACCATCTGTTCGATCCAAAGGTGTTCGCTAAAGGAAGGCAGTGCAAAACATAGGAGCGAGGCCTACAACGGCAAGAAATGCCTCTCTTCAGGACGCTCTAGTACTCTCACTAGGTTTTTCTTAAAATATTCTCTTCATGAAGACTGGATAAGCCGTTAGAGCAGCGTTTTAAAAAAAAAGGCATATTTATCAAAAAAAAAAAGAGACACTATTAAAAACATGCAATCCAGCTAGCCCGGGATCACGACATACCAATTTGTAGCTTTATTCTATTTTTTCACATGTAACAACTGTCCTAAACGCTTCATTGTTTGGACTAAAAGAGCCCTCGTAATTCGTTAATATTAGAAAGTCTTAAATTTATTAACAATTGGCGAAGAAAAAAATTAACAAAAAATAATTGTGCTCACAAAGATTGCAATTTGGCACTATTGTCAAAATTATCTGCATAATTTTGCATTTTTTGCTCTTAAAAGTATACTTTTTTCTAGACAATTTTATAAATATTTTTTTTGTTTAGATGAATCTACATTTGAAGATGCAATTACTGCCACAGGATTCGGGAAATACAACTATGTATTACTATTTATTATATCGGTTCCTTGTATTGCGCAACTAGTAAACACTGTCGAATTATCGTACGTACTTCCAGTAGCAGCATGCGATTTAGATCTAAGTTTAGAAGATAAAGGCGTTTTGAATGCTGTGATGTTTGCTGGTAAGTAAAATTGTAAAAAGTGAATGACAAGGCCGTAAACCATTCCTCGTAACTGTAATACAAAATGGCAGTTTTTAACACATCGGTATGTATGCCATGCATGTGTAAATTAGACCTTATTTATTACAACGTTCTTAAAACTCTAGAAAATTTACTTAAAGCGAAAATTAACTCATTCCCCTTTTCTGATTCATTCTGTTCTTTAGTTCTAAATACCCAAGAACAAACACAAATAACCTAATTAAACATTTTGGACAAAGAAAGAAAAACATATGTTGACTCTAAACTGTCTGGAACTTAATTCAGCATTTAATCCATATACCTACCTTTCTGTTATTACAAAAATTATTTTTATTCTTTTTTGAAATAAAATCTTTGAATATACGTTCAAAAATTGATTATCTGCATCTTGGAAAGATTGTACTTGAAAATGTATAGTCTTTGTGTCTTCTAAATCCATACGATCAAAAAAGAATTAATAAAATCTGTATTTTTGACACATAAAAAGGCACTTTAGTGTTCCAAGCAACAAACAATAATTACCTGCTTAAAGAGAACAGAATTTAGTGCCAAAAACGGAACGTTGGGGCACTTCACGATAGAGAAATCATTGAAATGTTATTGCTCAAACAAAATTTCATGTTCGGTGAAGACTAATGCTAAACAAGTTTTCCTTGATGTTCAGACGTACAACTATACCTTTTTCTGAAACCTATTATTGCTATTATGTCGCTCTCAATGTGTGGTAGTGCCAGACAGGAAAAATTAGTATGTATTATATTTTTACCTCTTTTAGGTATGATCGTGAGTGGACCATTTTGGGGCTATTTTTGTGACGCTCTGGGTAGAAAACAGATTATTGTATATGGTTATTTTATTACCGGTGTCTTCGCTATTACAGCTGCTTTATGTACAAATAAAACTGTTCTAATCGCTGCAAAATTATTATCTGGTGTATTGTAAGTATTATTAAAATAGCACATTTTAAAACATTATGAGTAGATCATTTATTCTGTTTTATCACAAAATTAAATTGGGCGCAATAATTTAAAACTTACGTATAATAGGTCACTTCTAATCCTTTTTATTCCATAATTTAGTCTGATAATTCTAGTATTAATCTAAGAGAAGCTTCTTGTAGATTTTATTAGTAATAAAAATCACCTAAATTCCCTAGTAATACAAAAAAACAAGTGACAAAATACTACCCTACTAATTTTGTATACATTGACATTTTGGAATTGAAGAAGATGTGACAAATTAATATAATCCTAGAGCCAATGTGCAGATTTGTAAATTACTTTCTTATTGCTGAATTTATTATTAAATTATGCTATGATACGTGTCGAACGAATTCACAAAAGTGCGTTAGTTCAGACTGGAGCGCTTGAGTAGCTATCAGCATTACAAGTGGTACCTGTCTCTCAAAAAATTGACTTATTTTCTCAACATTTTCGGTATGCTCATTTGACGACAAGTGCCCACCTACAAGAAATATTAAATACTCCATCAATTTTAATGGGTAATTTTTTCTCTCCAACGTTTTAAAGTAGTGTGTTAGGAGGCATGCGGGTGACTTATTTTCTTATAGCTGGTTTTTGGTAAATTTTCAAGTTTTTGTTATGTTTTCTACAAAATTCACTTTCCTCACCATTTTTGCTGGGCCAAAAATAGGAAATGATTTAAACAAAAAACGTAATAACAAATTTTTTGCCCAAATGGATGTAAATAATCAATCAGTGGTTTTTAAGGTCGCTGAAAACAAATTTTAATATTTACCGATTTTTAAATGTTCATTATTATGTAATATTTAATGTACTGGTTCATAATTTCTAAATTTTTCCACCTTATGTAAAAATATTGCTTTAATTCGTTTTTTGAAATTTTTCAATAAAAATATAATAATAACAACATTGTTTTCTATGATATTAAACAATACAATTATTATATCTTAAAAATGGCTAAAAATTTTTTTTAAATTGCATTTATATAAAACCATTATTTATTTTTATTTACTAATTTATATACGTTGGACACTAAAATAGGGACCAATATTCTTATGGACACTAATTCAGTGAAAAACTATCATTTTTATCTTACTTTGGGGCAAGCATCCACTTTGTAAAATAAGTCATGCACATGCTTACTTACGCTTGACATTAAAACGTTTGGAGAAAAAAAAAAAGGCTCAGCGAGATTGGTGAAGGAGGTGATTTTTTTAAAACACATAACAAAAACATAATAAACCAAAAATCAGCCTTAAGAAAATAAGTCACTTGCATGCCCACTCACGTACTACTTTAAAATTTGAGCACTTATTGTCAAACAATCAAAATAAAAATGTTAAGAAAATAAGTCAGTTTTCAAGAGGGCAATACCACTTGTAATATATATAACTACCTAAACGCCTCGGTCTGAACTTTGCCTTTAGTAAAATCGTTGGACATATCTTACTAAACTTTAATAATAAATTCAGCTGTAAGAAAATAAGTCACTCGTATGTCCACACGCCCACCATGATTTGGAGGGAATATATTTTTCTATAGAATCTGGTAGTTTTCCAAATGACTTAAAAGTAGGTATTGTTACTCCGATTGGTAAAAGTGAAAATCATCTTTCTCTTGAAAATTACCGTCCTATATCCGTCCAAACGGTTATTTGCAAAATAATTGAAAAAGTTGTTTATAAACAAATGCTGGGTTTTCTCAAAAAATATAATGTGATTACAGATCACCAAAATTGTTTTCTACCTGGAAGATCAACGGAAAGTGCGGCTATTTCTCTTTTTAATTTTATATACACTTCTTTAGATAAAAAGAAATACGTAGGCGCCCTTTTCTTTGATCTATCGAAAGCTTTTGATTCAATAAATATAAGAATAACAATTAATAAATTGAGCAACTTGGGATTTAGAGGTAATTTTCTGTCATGGTTAACTTCATATTTGGAATTTCGAAAAATAATTGTCAAAATTGATGATCAGAGATCGCTCCCACATGATGTGGATATCGGCGTACCCCAAGGATCAATTCTGGGTCCTTTGATATTCCTGTTATATATAAACGATATGCCGAACCATGTAAGTACTGACCAAATAGTATTATATGCTGATGACACCACATTAGCGGCTGACGCGGATTCACCACTTGAACTAATTGACAAATTAAATCGATTATCTGTAGAATTCGTTAGCTGGTGTAAAAGAAATTCCTTGATTATCAATCCATCAAAAACTGTATGTATGCAATTCTTCAACAGAACAGAGATACCTAACAATAATAAAATTTTAATCATGAATCATGATGTTGCTTTTTCTAGTACAACAAAATTCCTAGGTATTCACGTAGATTGTAATATGAGCTGGAATACCAATATTAACAATACATGTAAAAAACTGAGTTATAGTTATTTTTCTATATTTCAACTAAAAAATACTTTTATAACCAATCAATTAATAAATGTTTATTATGCTATTGTGTATTCTCATATATCTTATAATTTTATTTAGGTATGTTTTTCCACTTACAATTAAATTCCTAAAAATTGTTTACTTAACACGTTCGCGAACCAAGCGGCATATGCCGCGCTATGTGCAGGGTCAAAGCGCGATATGCCGTCCAACTTTGAGACGCCACAGAAGCCAAAGCGTGAATTGCCGCGCCATAATACATAGTAAGTTATGGACAACAAGGCGTGCTGTCCCAGCAAAAATCAAAATATATCGTGAAATGTCCTCTCATAAAAGTTTACTACATCGAATATTCTAGTTGTAAGCACAAGTGTTGGGTGTTCGTTTGAGCCTAAAAACTGACCTTTTTCGTTGTTTTAAGTGATGTTTTGTTGTTCTTCAGTAGTATTTTTGTGGGGTAAGTGATTTTTTGGTTTATTTTCTGATATACTTCTAGTTTTAAATAAAAACGATTCCAAATGTTTATTTTGAGGTTATGTAAGCAATTTACTTTGAGGTATAAAATTATTGAAAACTGACTATAATAACTGAAAATTCTCTTTAGCATTAAGAAGGTGCCCTAATCTGTTTCTATATAGTGGGCGTCCTATAAAATAATTCTTTATTTATTAGTAATGCCCCAATAGAATAAATATTTTGTAGGGAGGGGATTTTGTAACAAAATTTTGGCAATAATAATTTCAAGAATCTTTTTGGTCCTGAATCTTTTTCCTGATATGCAGAACCAACTGGCTACTGCATTATATAGTGGGTGTTCGGAAATATATTATTTTGGCTTATCTCTCTACCTACGATAAATGTGGTTTTATGGTGTTGAAATGTTTTGAAATCAGTCAGTATAACATACAGCGTAAAATAACAAATGTATTTTACAGGGGGGTCAAAATGTTGGGCTAATTGTTATTTGTTATGCGCAAGGTCAACTTTTTCTTTATAGAATATGGATCCGACAGAAAAAGCAAGGCTTCTGCGACTGTTGCAGGAAGTAAGTTCCTGCGAAAGTGAAACTTCTAGCTCTGGTCCATTTAGCAGCGATGACGACGTGGCAAACCCAACGTATCTATAAATTCGTCCGACCAGGCCGACTCTTCTGCGGATGAAGAAAATGTTCAACAGGAAAATTTGTCTCCAGAAGATGCGGACGGTGGATCTCCAGAAGATACGGACAGTGGAGAAGAGTGGTGCGATATAATTTCGGATATTCCCAATTTTGACTTTGACGAATCGGGCTCTGGTATCCGTATAAACTTTGTCGATAATCCACCAACGGTGCTGGACTGTTTTGAGAAGTTTTGGGATAACGAAATCATGGAAATGGTGCTTCTTTCAATGAACACTTACGCTCGTATTTTACAGAATGGCAATCGCCCCCAAAGAAAGTACTGCAGATATTCCAATATAAAGCCGATTACAATGAATGAGTTGAAGCAATTTATTGGAATATGTGTTCTTCAAGGTCAGATAAAATATCCTTCTATAAGGAAAGTGTTCTCCATGAATCCGTTATAATACTACTCTCCAGTTTTTAACTATACGCTCTCAGGCAGGAGATTTGAAGAAATTTTGAGGTGTTTTTCGTCCTCATATTTATAAGGGCCATTCTGAAGATGTCGCAGGATTAACAAAAATAGAAGCATTAGTATTTTCTCTAATGGAGCCGTACTTAGACCGTGGTCACCATTTAGTGATGGACAACTTTTACAACAGCGTCAGTCTTTCCAAGAAACTTCTAAGCAGAAAAACGCACACTACTGACACTCTACGGTCAAATAGGCGCGGTAATCCGCAAGCTGTTATAAAGCAGAAACTTAAAACAACAACAACAACAAAGTGGCGTGATAAGCGAGACATCCATTGCATAACAACAAAATATCAACCAAAGCTGATAAATGTTAGTAATAGATTTGGAAAAATTAAAGAAAAGCCGGAGGAGATTGCGAGAAACAACGATTTTATGTCTGTAGTTGATCGTTGTGACCAGATGACTAATTAATATTCATCTCTCCGTAAATCTATTAGATGTTACAAAAAGGTGATGTTTCATCTACTAGATATTGCAATATGGAATGCTTATTACGTATTGAAGAAGTATGATAACAAACTAACACTTCTTCAATACAGGGAAAAGCTCGTCCAAGAGCTGCTTGGTATACCTTCTGACTTGCATGATGGGAGGAAACTGATAAATGATGGACCTTTGCGCGGTGGAAAGCGTAAACGAACAGATAATGCAGTACCAGATTTACCAAATATGCATTTTCCGGGTAATATTCTTAATCAAGAAGATCCTCAGAAAGCATTCCACAGAAGATGCAGGGAATGCTTGAAAAATAACAAACGGAAGGAAACGAAATATATGTGCAAAACATGTCCCGACCAACCACCGCTCCGTGTGCCGTGTTTTGAATTACACCATACAGATAGGCAGTGATAAGCAATTTATCACATTGTTATACCAATTTTAGAAGACTAAAAATAAAGAGTTCTTTTATGGAAAGAAGATGCGGCATGTGCCGCTTTGTCCCTAATGATAAAAATGCGTGATATATAGGGACAAAGCTGCAATTGCCGCCTCTATTTTTTTTTTCTTAAAAAAATACCGTAAAATATAATAACAAACCCATCGCAAATGGAATCCATCCAATGCCAACAAACACACAAAAAAAAACCCATCGCAACTTGTTTCGCTGATCTATCTCTAAAGATTATAAAAATATGGTAGTGCCGATATGGCATCACCCTCGAAATCCTTCATGTCCGCGAACGTGTTAAAGTTAAAGATGGTTCAAAAAGTTTAACTTCCATAACATTGATAGGTGTGCTAGGCAGATAGCCAATGCATAGTCTTAAAGCTTTTTTATTCGGTTTTGTATTGTAAAATTTGACGCAGAGCCATAGAATGATGACCCATAATCCAAGATTGATCCAAATTAAATATAATTAGGAGAAATGTTTTTTAGTGAATATAATGACTGATGACTTGTTTTCTGTAATAGCAAAATTGGTATTTGTAGCCCAACTTATTGTGACAATCAATGCTTCTCACATTTATCTATCAATTTATTTTCCACGTAAATTGCAATATCGTCAGCATATTCTGAAATGCTTATATAGTCTGTAAATTGTTCTTCGAATTTTGCAGTGTATAATATATACAAACGAGGGCTTAAAATACTGGCAGAAATTCTGAGGATATTCCTAAGGACATATAACGAGAGTTGGTTTTAACCATATAAATTCTTATGTATACTTCTCTATTAAAGTATAACCTAAAAATAATATACATTTTTAAGCTTTACTTCTGAGATTAAAATGTTATAATTTTTCTGAATAAAATTGTTAATGACGATTTTTAAATTATATTTAGTTTTTTGATATAACATTCAGCAGCGCCCCCTATCCAATAAATTCATAGGTAATTGGATCAGAAAGTAGTAAAAGGTTTTAGTTGATTTTGTTTAAGAAGGTATCCAAATTTATCAACGATGTTATTAATTTGCAAATCACACTTAAGATTTCGATCTATAATGATCCCTAATTACTTAGTTGATATTGCTTCTAAAGATTTAGTGTTTTCATCAATACGTAGTGGCCCACATTTTGGAAAATTATTTATATCTGGGTTCTAAGTAAATTTATTTAAATGAAACCTATTTAAATTGTTTTAAAATCATCCTAAATTTCTTTTTTTAATGAATTCCAGTTTTTCGACATATAAGTTATGAGTGTATCATCTGCGAAACTAATAATACTTAGTAACGATTTTGCGACTGTATAATTTATTAATTTTTATTAGTGTCATTGCTCTCATATTTATCCCAGCATGATGTTTTTTTTTGGATTTTAATGTGTTAATCGTTATTTCTTTTTCGTTTTGTACACTCTAGTTACATAAGAGTTTCCAGTGTATCTAAGTTTTTATCAAACTCATCTGGATATCTTATTTCGTTTGAGTAATTTTGACCCAGATCACTATAGTAATAGTTAAAATTATTCGCAATATATAACGATTTCTTGTCCTTCTTCTGTTAATAATTCGTCAATTTTAATTTTATGTATTTTCTTTTTACAAATTTTATTCACACATTGCCAAAAAGCTGTTATTCTCCATTAAATCTTTCATATAATTTTATTAAGGATCTAATTTTATTTTTATAGTAATTATATCTAGCTATAAGGATTTTTAAACCGACTTTAGAAAAGAAGAAAGTTCTTAATTCGTTGAAATTTTTTGTTATTTTTTTGTTTTTTGTTTTTTTTTTAGCGTTAATTCTTTACTGAGTTGTCCGAATTCTCTGATTCTTTTGTTTTGTTAGAAAGGGGATACCTCAGAGGTAGTTCCATATACTATTTTTCAGGATCTGATTATATATAAGAAAATTAAAAATCTCAATTTTTTAAGGGCATCTACATGATTTTGAGGTCAGTTTTTGAATTAAAAAATTATTAGAATTAATAAGTACATTGCATAAGTACATTATTTTTGCTGTTAAAGAATTATTAACCAATTAACAACCACATATTATTTGATAACATAAAATTATTTAGTAGCGTATAATAGGAAATATTCGTAGTATAGTTAGATCTGATGGTGATATCCCACTTCGGCCGTTCTCACTTCGGCCGTTTGTAAAATCTACCTCTTTTTGTCCCATTTCGGCCGCTTGTCCTTTTCATGCGTTTCAGGTAAAACGGATACGCTGCATTTCGGCCGGTCAATGTACAGTACAGGGTGGCAATTACGCTTTGGTTTGGCAATTTTGGGAGCAGAGTTAATTATAAAAAAATATTCAAGTCGTTCAATTTAAGACAAAAAATATTTGGAAATGTTTCATTACCGAAACAGATCTGAAATTCTGTTGCCACCACAATTAGCGGACAACTTTTTAGTTATAGAAGACGGTGTTGAAGACGAAATGTTAATATTTATTAACGTATGTGAATCTTTATTAAAATATGTGAAGTATTTTTTGGAGACGGAGCATTTAAGAGCTGTTCTTTATTATTTTGTGAATCTTTATTAAAATATGGTGAAGTATTTTTTGGAGACTGAGCATTTAAGAGCTGTTCTTTATTATTTTTTTAATTGTAAAAAGTACCGAGGATAGTCCTTCTATTATTCCGGTCATTTTTGCTCTTTTGCCGAATAAGGAAAAGAAAACATATATAAGACTTTTGTCCTTGCTTGTTTCAAAGTTTAAAATTTTTTCTCCGAAAGTATTTACCTAAATTGGATTTTGAAGTAGCTACAATAAACGCAATAAGATATGTATTTCCAAAAACTGTCATTCAAGTCGTTTAATTTAAGAAATAATTGTAGACGAAGTGTTAAGGGCATTTTAAAGGTTAATTATCTCTAATAGAAAACCAATTTGTACCTGAACTTTATTATCAGTAATTACTTGGTAATGCATAATTATTACTAGAAATACCAAATTATGTTCAAAAAATAATAGACATGAGTATTAAATAAATACTCATGAAAAAGGATTAAAGGATTAGTTACCCTGCCATTTGGATATGTCCTTTTATGTTCTTTTCGTAAATAATAAATATTTGTTTTTATTATCAGTAAAGCTTGAAAGTGAAAGGTGTTCTTAAAAATGGACAGTGAGATTGAAATTATTGAAACCAGCAAAGGCAAACCTCTACTTATTAATGGTGGTTACAGATATCAGATAAAAGAAATTTATAAAAATGGAAATGTATCTTGGAGGTGTTCTAATAGAAACTGTGGTGGACGTGTTTCTACAACAAATGACAAGAAAAAAATTTTGGGGAAAAAAGATCATACTTGTGTTTTGGATATAGCTAAAAAAGAAGTTGAAAAGTGTGTTTTTCAGTGTAAAAAGCGAGCAAGAGAAAAATTTGCACCTATTCCTCAAATTGTAAGTAGTGAATTCAAAGACATTAAAAATCTAGGACTGGAGTTTGTGACCAAAATTCCTAAGTTAAATTCAGTAAAATCAAACCTTTATCGTGCTAGGCAAAAAACATTTGGAAATGTTTCATTACCGAAACACAGATCTGAAATTGTGTTGCCACCACAATTAGCGGAAACCTTTTTAGTTATAGAAGACGGTGTTGAAGATAAAATATTAATATTTAGTAACGTATGTGAATCTTTATTAAATGAAAGTGAAGTATTTTTTGGAGACGGAACATTTAAGAGCTGTTCTTTATTATTTTTTCAATTGTACACTATACATATACATGCAGATTTAAAAAGTACCGAGGATAGTACTTCTATTATTCCAGTAATTTTTGCTCTTTTGCCGAATAGGGAAGAAAAAATCTATATAAGACTTTTTTCCTTGCTTGTTTCAAAGTTTAAAAATGTTTCACCGAAAGTATTTAAATTGGATTTTGAAGTAGCTACCATAAATGCAATAAAATATGTATTTCCCAAAACTGTCATTCATTGATGCAATTTTCACTTTAATCAGGCCATATGGCGCAAAGTTCAAGATTTAGGTTTAGTGTTATCATATCGTAATCAAAGTGAAGTACGAAATCATATTAGAATGTGTGCTGCTCTGGTTCATTTACCCGAAGAAAATATCAATGAGGGATGGCTGATTATAATGGAAACTTCACCTACGAATGATCTAGTTATTAAATTTAATGATTATTTTACTTCACAATGGTTAGATAATCCAATTATCCAAAATATTTGGATATGTTCGGGGCACAGACATCGGACTACAAACACAGTGGAAGGATGGCATAGTAAATTAAATAAAAAAATTGGGAAAAGTCATCCAAACATTTTCGAGTTAATAACTGTATTGAAAGAGGAGGCTGCTTTAAATATAATTAAATTACAAAAAATAAATCTATATAAACCAACTCCAAAAAGATTAAAAAAATACGTTGATATTGATATTAGAATTAAAAAAACATTAAATGATTTAAGGGACAAAAATATTGACTTAAAAAATGCGTTGAACAAATTCATGTACATTACTAAATTTGAGTAAAATTGTGTTGTCATACTGTGTATTATCTATTGATTTTTTATTGTATCATTGGATTGTTTTTTCTAAAAAATATTGTAATAAAGAATTTGAGTTTATTAAATTTGTTTTTCTTTTAACTGTTTGTATATTATGCTAAAAAATTAACAAGTTTACAATATATAAACAAACGGCCGATATTATTTAAGTAATCTTAATCTAAATATCCCAAAAAGGTTGACCGGCCGAAATGTAACTCTAATCTTAATTTAAATATGCCAAAAAGGGCGACCGGCTGAAATGTAACTTTTTTATTTAACGGCCGATATGGGAACGGCCAAAGTGGTACTATACCAGATCTGATGCACATTTTATTTGGCTAATACCGACTTTAATGTAAAATAATGTTTTTAGTATAAATGGCCCATTTACAGCCACAGCATCCCATTTGGCTGAATTTCACTCATCAAAATATAGAGGAAAGGTAAATATGGCTAGAGGAATATTTATTAGCGTTGGAAATCTTTTGCTTCCGGTTTTAGCATGGGCCATTCTTCCTAGAAAATGGAATTTTTCCGTTTTCGGTATTTTTGGTAAGTGTTAATTTATATAATTTTATGGTAGCAACATTTTTATAGCGATTATAGTTAGGAATTCGACAGAAATTATTTGTAAAAGAATAAAATTGAATAGATGCATTATTCCTTTTAGAGTAGTTTCAAATGATTTTTATGGTTGAGGATACATGCTCAAATTATATAATGTTAAACTTGTTCTGTTTGTTATAGATTCTCAATACTTATGGAATTTAACAGATTTTTTCTACACCTTTATTTTATGTTAAAATTAATAATATAATTTTATATTATATTTGCAGATATTCATTCTTGGAACATATTCTTGTTAGTATGTGCTTCGACGACTGTACTCAGTGGATTTTTTTACATATTTCTACCGGAGAGTCCAAAGTTTCTGATGACAAGTGGAAGAAATGAGGAGGCTTTAGCTGTATTGCAAAAAATGTACAAGTTAAATACTGGCAATTCTAAAAACACTTTCCCGGTAAGATAGCAGCTTTAGCATAAAAAAAGAACTGGTTAGATTCAACACGAACAACTATTACTTATTTTGTTTATAAAATCAAATTGCAAGCATTTACGGTGTTGCAGTTGCCAAATTATTATTTGAGAACATAAGAGAGTTTTGTTACAAGGATTGTTTATGGTTATAATTTGGAATTAACTAAACATAAGGCTCTAAAACGTACAAATAACATTCAAAAATACAATATGGAAGATATTGGCATTCCTAACGTTAATTATTATCTGTTTAATATCTCTCTCTGGTTTTTAATATTATTATTGTAGCTGAAGGTGGTTTTCTCTAAAGCACACTATTTATTTAACAGTGTGGCAATGAAGTAAAGCAAGAATTATAGTTATACACGCTAATTCATTCGTAAAATATATGCTCGCACAAACTATCTTCACTTAATTCAGGAGGCGTCTCGCTCTTTTTAATGCGGCAGCCGACGCAACAGCTTCTATCTTCTAACATAATATACAATCTGTGTACTATCAATAAATAAAGGCTTAGTTATGAATAAGTCTAATAATTTTTCATCTTTGTGTGTATTTGAATCTATAAGTATAATTCAAATTTTACATATTTTTGAAAGTGTATATTTTTTAATTATTCTAGATTAAACGATTAGTAGAAGAAACTAAAGATGATAATACAAGGAACAATAAAGTTGGTGAAGTTGGTGCTGCTTTGAAAAAAGGATGTTTAGAAATGGGTAACATATTACATCGTCCACACATTTTTTATTTAGCGCTTGCTTGTTTTAACGCTTTTTCTTTAATAATGAGGTAAGTAAATCAAAGACTATAGGGTATAATAACACAGGTTTACAAAAAAAAAAGTCCGGACTATTTGACCAGACCATCGTATTCCTAGGTATTTTGGCGTCCTGAATCCAATCCCGTGGTCAGTTTTGCCCCATCACGTCAAAAAAAAACCAGATTTCAAGGTCATTTAGAAGTCAAAATGGTGATTTTTTGGAACTGGCTCCGGGATCAAGCGATCTGTTAAGTTGAGGGGTAACTGTAGGTCTTGAATACCTTCCAAACATTGTAAACGGTCCCAAAATAATAATAACATAATAATAATGTTTATTCAAATAATGATACATCAATATAAATACAATTAACAAAAAGAGAATAAACAATAGGAGTAATCACAGAAGCAGCGCAGGGCCAGTCATGTGGATAAAATGTTGTAATGGTCATTGTATCTCGCGAATTTCGATCTCCCTGCCAAAGTGTTCAAGTTTGGCGATCCATTTGCTGTGAGATAATGCCAGTGGATCCAGTACTGACTCAAATGGCCCTAGAATCTTGCCAGAACATTGGAGTTATGCTCAAGTGGTTCGAGGTATTCGAGTTCGTGAATTTTGCTTTCCTTGCCAACACGTAGAATTTTGGCGATTCAGTTATCGTCAATTAATGCCAGCACTTCTCAAAGTGTTCCTATAACATCGTCCAAACATTGGATAAAGCTGAGTATACTGTACGGGGCAAACTAAGGTTGCAAAAAATGGCCCGAGGATCCCAACTGGCAACTTCAAATCCGTACATATTTTCCATTTGTACCTGCTGTGATTGATTTTTTGGAGCAAATAGTCCATATTGCAGTAGTTCTCACTCAATATCGTCGAGTAGGCTATTGGAATGGAAATTGAAATTAAACACCTTGGCAGGGAGATCGAAATTCGCGAGATAGAACCATCATGGTAACATTTTATCCACTGCGCTGTCCCTGCGCTGATCCTGGCTGAGATTTATGGCCCCTGTCCAATGTTTGGAAGGTATTCACGACCTAGACAGTTACCCCTCAACTAAACAGATCGCTTGAGAAATTGTCCCGGGGCCGGTTCCGAAAAAGCACCATTTTAACATCTAAACGACCTTGAAATCTGAATTTTCTGACGTGTTGGGGCGAAACTGAACCCGGGATCGAATTCAGGACGCCAAAATACCTAGGAATACCATAGTCCGGTCAAATAGTCCGGACTTTTTTTTTGTAAACCTGTGTAATTTAAAAAAAGGACCTTAATAATTTTTCCCACAAATTATTTTTTAACAAAAATTAATCAGTTATAATGACTGATTTATACTCATTTATAAAATTTGAAAACCATAAATAGAGATGAACTGTGAATATTAGAAGAACTGTTCAAGACTTTTAATAAACAATAATCCAAGACCTTAACTTCAAAAGGATGAAAGTACCCTAATTTATTTTTTTTATTTCTGCATATAAAGGTTCAAATGGTGTCTTATACTTTTGAATTTAAAATCTTTGTATTTGTAATGTTCTTGTTATAAGTTTAACAGGCTCTGTTGCGAAATAGCGCTTATTTAAATAGCGCTATTGTTTTAGCGCCCAATCAAAATAGGGCTGAATAAAATAAATAGCGGCTGAACGAAATTGCGCCTGCTCAAAATAGCGCTAAACGAAATAACGCCTAACCAAAATAGCGTTAGTCACAATAACGCCCAAACGAAACAGCGCTTTTTGAAATAGACAGTGTTGAAACAGCATCAGACCAAAATGACTTTGCCACGAAATACCGCCGAACGAAATAGCGCGTTACAAAATAGCGCTATTGTTTTCATATAAATTAATTACCAAAAAGAACCTAACTAGTTTACCTAACCTTTTTCATTGCCATTGCTAGTTGCTTCGAAAGAAAATTATTAATAAAATGAGAAAAATAAAAAACATTAAACTAATTTACTTAACCTGTGAGGCCTGAAGCTATTTATAATTAAACAATTGCTCACACACAGGTGAGTTAAATTAGTAAGTTTTTTTTTATTTTATGTATAATTTTTTTTTTCGACTCACGATGACTTCAGGCCGCACAGATTAGGTTAATTAGTTTAGTTTTTTAAATCATTTTATGTGAAATTTTTTTGGCTGACGCAATTTAAAAAGAGACTATTTCGTTCTGGTGGTGTTCTGACTGACGTTCTTTTGGTACGCGCTATTTCATTTAGGTGCTCTTCTGAAACGCGCTATTTTATTTAGCGCTATTTTGTTCAGCGCTTTTTCGTGACATAGCCAGTTTTACACTATAAAGAATTCATTAAATTAATTGTTTTTAAAAAAAATTTCAAAAACAGAAAACGTTACTGATTACTTACAATATTTTATTAAATATGATGCTAGTAGTGACATCAATTGCATTTCATTGCGTTTACGCATGATCTATGTAAGTTTTACATTATAAAATCGTTTTTTATAATGATGTTGAAATAATTTTTTCGCGTATACCAACGGTAGAGAAAAATAAATTATATTTATAGAAGAAAATTAATTTAATTGTTACAATAACTTTGTTTTCAGTTCAAACACCTTAAAACTTTGGCTTCCGGGAATTTTCCAAGCAATTAGTGATTATCAACATAACCACAATGATACCAGCAATGACATATGTATAATGTTAGAAGAGTTGAACCCGCAATCTCACAATGATTCATCCTTAGAAAACTGTTCGGTGGTAAGTAGATAGATTACACACAGGATAATTAAATCATTAAAGAATAAATTAAAGAGAACCAAAAGAGATTGTTGCTACCTATGTATACACGGGCAAATTTTATTTAAAAGATGTTCTTATTCTGCAAAAGGCTTTCGGCTTTATGATACCATCAATGCATAACTACATTAAAATTGGCCTAAGGCCGTTTAAATTTAACCAGGAATTTCGCCATAAAATCTTATGAATGCACCTAGTTGGAAATCGGTGTTCACCGGTAACTCTAAGGGACCGTCCAGAAACATACTATCATTGAAGTTTCAAATGTTTTTTATTAGTTCTGTGAATGATGACGAAACAATTAGTTCTTGTTTCTGTTTCTGTTGCACATCGAATTATTGTAAAATTTCTTTGCAAGGAAAATGTTAAAACACCTGAAATTTTCGAAAGACATCATCAACAATATGCAGAAGTAGAGTCGTCCAAATGAGCAAGAACTTCTGTTCAATGTTCAACGAATTAACTATTGACTTGAGACATACTTGTTAAATTGAGGCAATGATAGAAAAAACGACATGTGTCCAAAAAGTAAGTTTTTAGATAATTAACAAAAACTTAATAACTCCTGTCATTTTTGGACCATTAGAAGATAAAAAATAAATATATTAGTAATTTTAAATTACATAAAAAAAATATTTCAAAAAATGTGTTAAGGGTGAATGGGGGAATTGTGCGCACCTTAGCAAGATGTGCTTTTATGACTAGACCATCAATCCTATTGTACTGATACTTATAGAAAATTAAAGAGCACATATTATATTTTTATTATGTAAAAATAAATATTTTTTTATGTTTTGTAGTACCAAGTACCACAACAAAAAAACACAAAAAATGCAAAGCGTACAATTCCCCACCCTATGGGATAATTGTACGCAGAGGGTGGGGAATTGTGCGCATTATTTTAAATATTGTTTGATAATAAAACATGAAAATGAAGAGGTTTTTATAACGTGTTTATTAACATCTTAAGTCCATTAAACATATTTTTTATTAACAGTGCAATAATCACAGATGACCTTCAGCTCGATTAGCATCACTACATGCTGCATGAATTCCATGTGGAAGAGTCAACTCATCTGTATTATAGCTCCCTTTTGCGACCGAACTCACCACAAATGCCACATACTTCATTAGGGTTATCTCTACGTTCAACATCGTCAACATTTTTATAATCGTCTTGGTCATCGTCATCTCAAACAGCTACTTGTTTCTGACAACCTTCTCTTTTTATTTATTACCAATTTCTTTCTTTTTATATTGTCTTCTTTCTTCTTGTTATCTGTTAAGTTTCTTTTAAGTCTTAACTTTTTTGGCTGCTGTTGTTCTTCTTTTCTCTTCAGCCTTTTTTAACTGTTCTTTCATAGGGGTCAATGTTAGTATTTCGGAGCACTGTTTAGCATAAGACTTTCTCTTACGGTCTTCGACATTTGATTTGTTTTTGGAATTTGAGCAAAGCTGAAAAACGAGTTGTCTGATGTGGAAAGATTTTGTTGCGATGAATTAACTGCTTTATACTGATTAACTGGAGATTCCCGTGATGTAGAAGGCCCTGCAACGGGTATTGAGGATCTTTCAATACCGGGTGTAGAAGATTCGACTATCAGGGGTCTTTATGATTTGCAGGTGCAAAATCATCCTCGGTGAATTTATCCGGGTTTAACAGATATATTCTAGCAGTTCTAAAGCCAGAAATAGCTTTCTCCATAGTAGCTACTTTTAAAAATGCTTTATTTAAAAGTTCAGCCAAGTCGTATTCTGAGATTTTTTCATGTCCCACATTGGTAGGCTGTAGATCAATTTTCCTAAAGAGTTGGTTTTTGAAAGGATTAAAAAATGTTAGGTCCAGTGGCTGAAGGTGGTCAGAAGTATGAGATGACAGAGAGACCATGTGAATAAATTTGCTTTTACAGAATAAATAAAATAACAAGTTTAATAAAAAATTCGGAAAAAAATCATATTTTAAATTAATATTGTGCTTTTAAAGTTCTACAAGTTCACTGCTATTATCATCTTTGTCTATTTCAGGAAAAGTACCTGCAATGTTTTCCTATTTATTTTCTCTGTACTCAATTCCCTTGGTAATTAACGTGCTGTTCTTCCTTTATTTTCGCTTCTCTTATTTGATCTTAGGGATCGCTTTCTAATTTTCCAAGCAGTATTTAACGTACTGGGTTCTGGTTTTGGCTCGGGTTCTGGTACATCCATTATAGATATATAAAGTTGCTTATTTTTCTTTAAAACACTTAAAATAATTTCTTCCTATAAACTTTTCATGAACTATTTTAGATTAGGTTTAACACATGAAATGACAGTTGTTGTCTTCGGCGAAGAGAACTGTTTCCATGAAAAACAAACTTATGTCCAGGACATAAACTGTTTTTAACAGAAACAGCTAAACTTGTGTGGTTTTTCGCAGAATCGATGTATTTTCGGTAGTTTATATTTCGGTGAATATATCGTTTTTACCAGAAGCAACAACATTAAAGAGTTCCTTGGCGATAATAACTCATTATATGTTATCAACGCCTCAATTGAATTGGGAAACATTACTTTACTCTCCCTATAGCCCTGACTTGTAACCATCATTTATTTGTACCTCTCAACGAAGCGTTGGGTTGCCTAAAGTTTGAAGACTATGGCGACTCGGAGATCTTTGTGCAAAAGTGGAATTGTTACCCAAGCAAAAACCTTTTATAAAAAAGTATTATGATGCTCACAAGAAGATGGCAAAGGTGTATAGAGATTCAAGCTGGCAAAATTGAATTAGAATTCTTAAAATTCGAATTGAGAAATTCCGGAGGCCTCGGCTTGTGTTGGTAAAGGATTGCAGGATCAATCCCAATTGTCAACAAAAATCATTTAAAAAATTACTGACCACAAAACTGATTATAAAAGTACAGAAAACATAAAAAATAGTGAAAAAATTAACATTATATCCTATAAAGGATTTTTTGAATTAATTAAATGTATTTGAAATCTGTCTGTTAATGTAAAACAAATTAAAAACATTCATATATCTTGTAGTTTATTTAACATAAATTCCAATATGTTTCAAATTCATGTTTAAAATGATTTATCTCGAGCAGTTATGCACAAATGTTTTGTTTCGATTGAAACATTTTGTTAGTTTAGACCAGATTTTAAAATAAATAATTACTTGAAATGACAAAATGATAGATCTAATTGCACATTATTTTTAAACGATTATCATATTTTTTGAATCAAAGAAATATGTATCGGAAAAATAATATGGTGTGGCGGCGCCTTAAAGCAGTCCCTTCACTTTTTTACCCACTACGCCGTCTAACGGCCACTAGATGGAGCCACATATATAAAAACTCTTTTGGTCGATAATATAGGGTCGTTTGATTTAAAATTATATCGAGCAAGCGCCGAGGAGACCGAGAAGTGATGACGTCACGACAGAACATTGAATCAAATCAAATAAAACAAAGTAAAAAACATAAACTCGCTTTTTTTCATCGTTCTAGGTTTGTGTGTCAAAAGAATGAACCAAAAGTGAAGAAAATTAAAAACTTTTAATAATAAGGCACAATGGCCCTGAAATGTAGCATATACCGCAAATGGTTTCAAACTCTATGACTGTGATTACTGCTGATTGGATCTAAGCAGAGAAAATGTATTTTCCGAACACACATTCTATTTTTTATGAAAAATAGTTTCAGCTGCAAGACAAAAGCAGCCAAGTAATTTGTTGACTTATTATCTGGTCTCGTTTTTTAAAATTAAGTTTGTTTGTAGGTTAATTAAAAAAAAAATAGGTTTCGTGTAATTATGTGATCTAAATACAGAATGAGCAATAATCAAAGGGATAAAATATAACCACAGATCACTTGAACTAAAATATGAAATTTGCCTTACTCAATACAATCTTATTATCTTTTTTTAATACGCTTTTATTATTTTAAAACTATTTCAGAACATGGATAATCTATCTGTTTACATCAACACCTTTATAGTCGCTGCAACCAGAATAGGCGCTTTTGCTGTTTCTGAAATGTTCGTAAATCTGCTGGGTGTCAAAACTTTAACAAGTAAGTACAGTTTCCTATGGCCTATGGCCTATGACTAAATGATAGTTTGCACACTCATTAATACTTTAAAAAGCAGCTTATATCACAAGTGCACTAAGATATATATACTCGTATGTATGTATTGAAAACTAACAAAATCACATACTTTGATTTTCTTTTACTATACGGAGAATGGTTGCACTGCGCAGCTTTCTGAGTGCCTTTTAAAAAGAGATAGAAAACTCCGCCACATCTTGGCGCAATAATTTTAATAGGTGCGTTTTAATCATCCGCTTCTGCTTCGGAATTGTCGGTTTTCTTGTTTTATTCTGACAGGTTAAAACGACTAAACCGACAATTCCGGAAGCAGAAGTGGATGATTAAAACGCACCTGATGTTTTGCTTGCTGCTGTCAGTGTCAGTGAATATTATTTTTGGAGTCACAGTTTATTGCTAAAGAATCAGTTAGCTCACTCGAACCAGTTGAAAGTTCCAAAATAACATCCACTCCAGGGATACAAATTCAGGATACGCAGAAGACTGCTGTTTTATTATAGGCGGTTGTCATATATTGTATTATTCGAGTTGCGCAGTGTATAAACTGGAACATTGAGATCAAAAATGCCGACGCAGAGTGAGTGATCTGATTCTTTAGCTATAAACTGTGGCATAGGAATCAAAATGGCCGTGCCCTATGTTGGGCGTGTCGGACCTTTCTGCACCGTATAGTAATCAAAGTATATGTTAAGAAAATACCGTTCTATGACCTGTGACATGTACGTCAAAGTTATCATTAAAATTGTCAATAACAATGAGAGGCATTTACTTTAGATGTAAATTTTTATACATTATTCTGTTAGTATATCTACTTTAGTTATAAATATTTTATAATCATTCTGTTAGTTCTTGTCATCTCTACTGTTACAAAATAAAAAATGTTTTGGAGGATTTTGTTACTTTTCAACATATGTCTGATGTATTTTTCAGACGTCTTTTTAAAGGATTTTTTACGTTGTCGTAGAAAAAATAGTGTATTTCTCGAACTCGTGCGAAATTTTACACTTTCCACACTTGTTATGTAATATATTATGAAAGGTTTATCAGGACTAATACTAAACAATATGTATTATTTTACAGTTGTAACATGTTTCCTGAGTTCGGGTCTTCTAACATCGATTTACTTTGCAAGGAGTTCTGAAGCTGTTACAGTTTTGTCGGCCATTGGTACTGCCACCGGAAGCGTAGCAGAAAATTTATTGGTTACATTAACCTTAGAGCTATTTCCGACTTCGCTGAGGTAAGTAAATAAATACCAGTCTAAAATTTGATTTTATAAAGTGTTACTCTTTTTAGGACAATTGCGTTATCAATCCACCTAACATCTGGACGAGCAGGAACTTTAGTAGGAAATATTATTTTTCCGTATTTACTACACTTAGGATGCTTACCACCTTTTGTTTTTATTGGTGTATTTGGAGCAGGTAAAACATTTTATTATGGGTACTTCTAAGTATATAGATTTTATTAAAAAAATCGGTTTTTACCAATAACGAAAAATTACTAGACTAATTTATTAACAATTAAGCCCTTCTTTATTGCAATCATTAAGATTGGCTGCCGCATTTAGAAGAAGGAGACAGCTGCTAATTTGAGTGGGGATGATTTTTGCAAGTATGTTTATCTGAAGAGCAAGCATGCGTTTTACAAATGAATCAGTATTTACGTCTAGAAAAAAAAAAATATATATATATATATATTAAACTAATAATAACTGGCATTTAGAATGCAAATATACTTTTTAAACAAAATTTCTAAACCTTTTGCGTGCTTTGGAGCCTAACGTTTATTAAATGCATTATTATAACCATAAACAATCCATGTAACAATAAGAATTTGACAACTACGTGGATGACACCTTGAACGTTTGCAAGTATTTTTTTAAACAAAATTAGTCTAGTAGATTTTTGTCATTGGTTTTAACTTTAAATTATGAATCTCTGTTACAATGCGGTCGATATTTTCTAGTTATAATCGCCCAGTGGTATCTTAGCTTGTCTTAGCTCAAGAAGTCGTTCCAATTATCGGTTATTAATCTTTCTTTGTATTGTGTTCTGTAGATAACATAAAACGACTCAGATTTTACCAAGGGTGTTTGAGCCCCTTTCCTTACAAGACTATCTTTAAAGTCGTTACCCAAGTTAGAGTAATTGTATTTTCCGCCTCTAGTTCGTTTAGTTTTTCTTGGCATCTCCAAACCATTTTCAAATTTATTATGTAAAAGCTCAGCGCTTTGTTGACTCCTTGGCCATCGGACATAATAATAATAATCGCTTGTCTGCGATAGTTTTTCCTGAAGTTGAACTGGGATATACTGAATTTTCATCTGGAAGATGCTTGAGTATTTAAATTTTTATTTACTTTACCCAAACATTCAGAGTACCCGATTCTAGACTCATATATTCCAATTCCTTTTGTGCTTTTGAATCCATCCATATATTACTGAATTTAATGCCTTTTGGTTGCAAATACGATGGATTCTTGTATGCACTCTTCAGTAAGGCTCTGTGGTTTTAAATTTTTTCACAAAACTATTTCTTTCTCATTTCTTTCTTGGGTAAATGCCTCCAACAAAAAATTGGTTCAACGTAGTCCAGAATGTCTTCATCTTCTTTATATTACAAAATTCCTACCCTATAAACAGGGTAGGCATTTACAAATTTTAAATGGCAACAGAGGTTGACTGATAGCTCATTTAAAAAAAATGGTTTTTAATTATTTATTCAAGGGTTTAAATAATTTTAAATTTGCTTTATCATTTCTGAATCAAGACAGAAGGAGAATGCTTATACCTTGCATTCATTATTCTGAAAGCAGCTTTAGTTACAGTAAAACGAGAAAAAATAAGTTTTGGAAGACTTGGAAGTGAATATACATATAGACAAGAGTAATAGAAAACTAAGAATGAAAGTAAATATAGGTAAAATAAAAATTATGATTGTAAACGAAGCAAAAAAAAAAAGATGACAAAAATATTTAAAAACATAAAATGTACACTACAAACAATAACAACCTAAGAATATTTGGGGATTATATTAACAGACGTTGAAAGAATAGATGCCAGAATATACTACGCCCGAAATAAAACCATACTAAAACATAAAGATATTGATACAAAAATGAAACCTAACAATATAATTACGTTACCAACAATAACTTATGCTTGCCAAAATCTGGGTATTACATATAAAACATGAGACAAAAATGAATGGAATGAAGAAACATTGGGAAAAAGTAAGGAATTATGATGTAAGAGAAACTAAACAGGAATCAATATTGAGAAAGATAAAAAAGAAACAACCTAGTAAAAATTAAACCAAACAGAATAGCGAGAAAAGTAATAGATTACGAGAACATGGATTACGCTCCAGAAGACTTGCAACTGGTCCGGAGTTACTAAGGAATCACAGCACGTCTTCGATTTGCCAGGGAGCATCAACATTGGAATATCGATGACTGAAGTAAGATTTTATTTTCTGATTAGTCAAGGTTTTGTTTACGTTCTCCTGATGGCCGTGAAAGAATATACCGAAGAAGAGGCGAAAGGTTTGACCAAGCAAATTTTTCCACAAGACTCAGTTATGGAGGAGGATCGGTAATGGTTTGGGGCGGCATAAGCATAGAAGCTCGTACTGATTTAGTCATTGTTGGCGGCGGAGAAATGACAGCTAACCGATATATTCGTGATGTGCTAGGTCCACATGTAATTCCATTTGCACCGTTTATAAGAAACGAATTCATGTTTATGCATGACAACGCTCGACCACATATTGCGAGGATTGTATCTCAATATTTGGACGAAACGCACGACGCATTGAGGCAGTTTATTTGTTGTTTGATTTGTTTATAAAATTATTTATTACTCTGTTAAAACTGAATAAAAAAAATTAAGAATGTTGCAATTTGTTTAGTCACATTTCACAAATAAATTAAGATATCGGGGTAAATAAAAAACCAAAATGTTGAAAACAAATCAGTCTTCTTGATAAAGTTAATTGTGTGCAGATCTACTAGCAGAATTAACCTACAGGGTGTGTCAAAAGTAGAGGAAAAAATTGTTTTCTTTTTCCCCTGTATATCCGGCGAGTACTAAATTACTTTTAGATGTCCGAATAATAATCTTAAAACTACAGTATTTTATCTAAATGTCGATAAAAACTTCAAATAAATCAGCCTCCGCATTTGAAAGTTAGAGCATTTTTAAATAAATCATTATTTTGAATTGATCGAATTTTAAGTCTGTGAGTGTAGTATCAAATACGAGTAAGCTCAATCATATTCTTTGAATAGTTTAATAAATCCCAATGCAGAAAAATAAAATTGTGTTGCATTTTGGTTTGGTCCAATTCATATGCGTCTAGGCTTGTACTATCTACCTATTTCTTAGAATGATTAAACATACGCCCTAAAATCAACCTTAAGAGGTAGGAAGACTAAATGCGCCAAATATGATTCTTGTTTTTAAACTAATTTTGATCCTGACTCCATTAAGAAATCTATATTTATTTTTAATTATATTATAAACAGAAATACTGTTCGACAATTTTGACACTTTTGTATTGATTCCTTGTACAAGACACAAAATAATGCATTTATCTATTATTTTTTTCTTTTTCAGCTTGTGGAGTATTTTCCTTTTTCTACTCGAGCGTTGAGAACAAACCCTTACAATAGAATCAATAATTTTGTAAACTGTCGAGCAACACACTTTTTATATTTTATAAATTATTTTCCTGTTCCTTATTGTTACAAATAAATAATAATTTGATAAGTTTTTTAATTTTTTCCTGAAAACATAAGTTTTAGTTGACTTTTAACATTTTAAGAATATAGAATATTAATAAATAACTTTAAGGATACATCAAAATAATTAATGGCAAATAGAACTAAAGAATATTACAATATCGATGACACCAAATGAAGGTAATGCCAAGAAGATAATAAGGCCAGGTTGACTGATCATGATTAAAAGAGAGCTATCATCATTATTATATTTTTTATCGTCACAATCATTTGTGTCTAATGTTCGAAACCTATGCTCCCTCACACGCTTCTGTTCTATGTGTCAAGACTAGAGAGAAAGAGGCGAATGGACAAATTTCAAATTTCCTTCCTTCTTTTCATAAAGTTTGCCAAATTGACTGTAGTTGGCGGGTCGAACGTTAGTGACGTTAATTTTCTATGTAACTCAATGAGAAGGAAAGTGTGCACAGGTAACATGAGTAACAAATTAGTGAAAGCCCGTATTTTACAAAGTGTAGTTTATTTTGTTACAAATTTCTATAATATAAAATTTTACAAAAATCCTCACTTTAAACGACCATTATATTTAACAAATAAAATTTGTTTTTTTTTTTCAGAGTTTTAATGTTAGGAAGAGTTACTAAAATATTATTTTCGTTGAACCCCAATTTTGTCATTGTAAATATTTTTTTATATGATTCTAATCTTTTAGGACAGTGACAACATATGTTGTTTGCGAGCTACACTTTTTAGAAAATATTATTTATACTGATCAATATCAATATAAAAAGTGAAAGCCCAAAATTAAATGATAAAGCTACCTTGTAGGTATATTCCCGGATCTTCATTTTTACTTATAACAATAAAAAAATCTTCTGTGTTTTATTTGGCTACTAAAACTTATTTAGGTATAATTAAAAAAAAAAAAAAATAGCCACAAAATTGTACTTACCAAATTTCACCATTTAACAAACCATTTTGAATTTGGTCACACCTAATTTTCATTTTACGAGGTCCGAAAATTAAATAACGAGACTAATTTTTTTTCTCACAAATACCAACGGTAGTACAATAATGCACGCGACGGAGCGTCTATCCTTGTTTATCCGTTACTACCTGCAAAAACTTTCAAACAAGTGGCTCAACAGTGTTTGTTCAGTCAACGTGCGAGCAACATCTTATTGTCGTACTGTGCTAGAAAAAAGTCGGATGAATTTTTGTGTAAACTCTGAAAATCAGCAATAGGATGTTATAAACTTTTACAGACAGCATATTATGATAATTATGTATCACGTGAAAGAGTGAGTGGTAAAAAAGGTTTATAGATAGTAAGGAAGATTGTAAATATGATGAACGACAAGGACGCCCATGAACTTCTAAAACCAAATTAATAAACGAGAAAGTAAAACAGACCCTCGATTAGGTGTGAAGGCTATTGCAGAGCAAGCAAATCTTAATAGGGAAGTGATCAGACAGATTTTGAATAAAGAGCTTAACATGAAAAAGGTTTGTGCTAAGATCGTACCCACACTGCTTTCTCCAGACCAAAACACAAACCAATGAACATTTGTGTTGATGTTCTGCATAATATCGACACTGACTTTTTTAAAAAGGGTAGTGAGATGTGACGAGACATGGACTTTCCAATATGATCCCGCAACTAAACGTCAATATATGCATTGGAAGACTCCTGATTCACCGAGAGTGTAAAAAAGCAAAGGATGAACAAATTTAAAGCCATGTGGCTTGTTTTCTTTGATATTCGTGAAGTTATCTACATTATTTGAGTTCCAGAGGATGTGACAGGCTTCTGGTTCACCTACAGTGAATCAGCGAGTCTGTGTGGCGCTATGATGGTGATTCCCGAATAGGGGTTTTGGTATCGTAGGTTGTTCTGCGACCATGTAATTCACCAGAGTGCACTTAAGGTAAACTCAGTGGAGGTAAAAATAATTCCAGGCGGTCACTGCTAGGTAGTCACTATACTAGGAATAAATAAAACTAAAACACTTATCTACTTTACACCTCGTACCCTACGGTACCCTGAAAGAGAACGGTTAAGAACCAGCAATAAGAGAAACACAGGAATAGGTAATAAAATATATATTTACAAAAAAAAATACAACAGTAATTAAATATGAACGGCTCCCTGTATTCGGAAATTTATTAAAAATAAATTATTACACTTGAAAACTAATTAAATATTAATGGATCCCTGTAGTCGGAAAATTTATTAAAAATAAATTATTACAATTGAAAACTATTTAAATATTGATGGATCCCTGTATCCGGAAAATTTATGAAAAATAAAGGCACAGAAAAAATAAATTTTATTTTGAAAATTTTTAAAGTTTAAAGGTTCAACATTGAAAATTTAATTGTTTAAATTTTTCGAAAAATCCTTAATTTTTTTATAAAAATATGTAATTTTAATATACCTGAATAAGTTGATAAATGATCAGAGTTAATCCATCATCACATCCAGCTACAGATGCGATTTTCTCATTTTTTATAATTTATATCCAGCATATTTCGGCACCACTTAACGTGGTCAAACGAGATTCCACTATTGTTGATTTAAAATACCGTATTCTTAGATTATTCCCCACTAATTTCTTTTTAATTCCACGAATAATGAATAATGCAAGTCAAATTATAGTCGAAATACGGGCCTGAATGCATGTCTTATATAATAACAGGGGTTATCAGCAGTGGCGTAACGTAATAAGAAGAAAAACAGGCTATTCTTATTAGAGTACTGTGGATTCTATGACCGAGGAGGCTCAAGTCAAATTTAAATGTATGAAAAATAAATAGAGATTGCTATTAATATATATATTTTTAATCTTACAACATACAATGATACAAAAAAATGGAAGAATTATATCTATTTAGCCAACATATACGTTAAAAAGAAGTTGAATAATTTATGGGAGAGCTAAAAATATACAAATCATCTATTTTAGAAGAATTGGTTCCCCAAATTTTACAAATGACTGCAAGCAGCAACTTTAATAGTATTATTATAAATAAGGTAATCGTGACTGGATATTTTCCAGGTAATTTAAAAAAAGAGTTTACCATAACCATTTAAAAAAGAAAACTCTGAAGGTTATGTCTAATTATAGAATGATATCAAATCTTTTAAATTTAACTAAAACAGTTTAAAAATATATTATAAATGAGAATTATCCCTATTTGGAATAAATATATTCTAATATTAGTTCGGTTTATAAGAAAGAATATCAACTAATCATGCTATATCCGTCTATTTTGGATCTCGCCAAGTTCTTTGATACGGTGGATCGTAAAATTTTGATAGATGGCTATGAGGATCTGGACTTTAGAGAAACAGCTTTAGATTTAAGTAAATATCTGCACTACATAATCCAGTATGTTTAAATCGATGGTACTGTTGGTAAGCCCTGTAAAATAGGTAGTTACATTAAGGACTGAAGGAGGAAGAGAACCAGAGGCAATCTCATTACCACTAAACAGTTGTAAGCAATATATCAAAAAGTAACTCCCACTACATTTTCCTTTCGTCTAATATCAGAAGTTTTAATTATTGCAAACGGGTTCACAAATTTTAGCTATATTTCCAGCTAAAAACTATAAGTGATTCTTTCAAACTGACAAACTATGTGAACTGTACAGGCCCTTTTCGCTCTATCAGTGTTCTCAGCTCTTCGATGCAATCCCATTTTAACTTCGATGTCATTTTCTAACTCGATATGCAGGAGCTTTATTGCAACATACATTTTACACATCGTGCTCTTTGAATGATGATTGATGAATAATATTAAATTTTACTGTGACCAGCGCTAAATAAACACTAGCAATTATTGCTAATAGAAAAAGATATTTATGCAAAATGTCATCCAGCAGTACCCAGCGATCATGGCTAATTCTGCACTGTGGCTAAAATTGTTGGTTAACCTTTAAAACTTAATGTTCTTCTGTTCTTTTTGAATATAGTCTTCCTAAAAAGGCTATCTCATGTGTGCTTGATTTGAGACATTCTATCATTACTTGTAATTTCTCCGAACCCAGTATTTCATGTAACTTCTAGCCTTACTTTTTGTTACTCCAAGGTTTATATGTGGTTTCGGTGTTTTATCAGACTCTGTGTCAGCTTTTTTATTGCACTCGATTCCTTTATGACTCTTTTCACTTAGCCAGTCTTTTCAGTTCTTCGATGCAATCCCATTTAATTCTCGATGTCATTTTCTGACTTGATATGGTCTTAAGATCTGCCTGCCTCTCTGACATTACTTGGATCTGCTTATAGAACCATACTTATGACAGGTCCTTTTCGTCTCTGTTTTGATTGTTGTATTGTCTTGAACGTTATTTCTGTATTTTTGTAAAATGTACGAATATCACAAAGAAGGGTTTTTCTTTTTAGATAGGAGCTATTCTTCTGGCCGATTATTAGCTTCTAAATAATTTTAAAATGCTAATATTTTAAATAAATAAACCAAGTAGTAATATTTATGATGGAACATGTTTGGTCAATTATATTCAAATTAGCTTTGCTTTTATTGGATTATAAATTTATTTCCTGTTTATTAGTTTCAAAATCAATTTTTCCCGAGTCATGCATTGTTGACAATAAAACAGATAACTTTTCTTTTTAGGAGCATGAGACACGAGAATGGTATGTACTAAAAAAATATATCCAACTCCCCTTATTGCAATTTGGAGAAATTCTATCGGCATATCAGGTTTATTTATTCTTAGATTCGTAATAGCAGTAATTCAGTTTCTTAGTAGCTTCTGTACGGTTTTATTGGAATAGTTTAGTCATTCGATTAGTCATATGACATTACTATGTCAAATGATTAACATGACGTCATATGATCCAGATTTTTGTGTGTTGCAATATAGTTCAAAAGTAAATTGTTTTGCTGTTAAACAAAACACAACTTTAGCCCGTATTTTGCTAGTATTTTTGACGTACTGAATAAATGCTCAACATCTTCTAAAGAAATGTAACAATACGTCTATGGTAATAAATTCGTTAACATA